TGGCACGCACTTCAAAACTTCACACTTTCAGAGGACTTCCTGGAACCAGTGTTCCAACTTAGTACTCCTCCAGTTAAATGGAAGCTAATAAGAAGCAGGAAACAGTATACACTGTATAAGAATGTTAGCAGAACACCACATGTATGGACCTTACATTAAAAAATCATAATAGCATTAAATCATCCTAAACCTCTAATACCCATTCATAAAAACACTTGTTCATCAAAAACCACATGTCATTCTGATTCACATATAGTGCTAAAAATATAAATTTTACAGAATGTGTCTGAATCTGACCCAGACACTTAAATATTTTCATAACTCCAGAAGCAAAAGAAAAATTGTCAAAAAGCTCTTGACTGTGTAACATAGTCTGCTTTGAATAAATGGCCTAGATGTAAGCAGTAGGTGGTAAAGTTAAAATACGAATGTTAATCCTATGAGAACCCTTGCCTGCTGTTTTATAGCCCTTCCTCAAGATTTAAAAAAAAAAAAGAGAGATAAAGAACACAAAAATACCTATAGCCCTAATACTACAGAATAAAAGTACTGATTTTAAAATATATTTTTTCAGCCTGTGATTTTTTTTTTATAGACAGTAGTATCAGGAATGAGTGGGAAAATAATTAAATAAACATAGTTTTCAGTTTAAATTTTAACAAAATAGCAGTATTTTTTTAACTCAAGATAAAAGAAGAAATATTAATTTTGGGAAACATTATGAATTACTGTATTATATCTACATATTAGAAAATAGCTTATTGAATAAATATTAATTTATTTTAAAATTTACAATTATCAACCAAAACAGAGACAAGCAAACTTTTTCTGTAAAAGGTTAAAAAATATATATTTGTGGCTTGGCTGGCTAAAAGGTCTCTGTGGCAACTAAACAATTCTGCTTCTGTAAAACAAAAGCAGCAACAGACAAAATGTAATTGAATGGGTGTGACTACATTTTAATGAAACTTTATGGACACTGAAATCTAAAAATCATATAATCTTCACTGCTCGTAAGACAGTCTTTTTAGTTTGTCAACCATTTAAAAATGCCAAACACCATTCTTAATGTATGTATCATACAGAACATACAGTAGGCTAGATTGGGCCATAGGTTACATTAATAGTTTGCCAACCCATAGACTAGATAGCAATAATGAAAACCATAAGAAATAAAAGGTCAGAGGACAAAGCTCACTTTTCCTTCCTTCCTTCTTCCCTCTTTCTCTTCCTCCCTCCCTTTTTCCTTTCCTCTTTTCATTAATTAATTAATTTTGCTTGATATCTGGCAATACAAAAAATAATCTGAGGCAGTCAGAGGGGAGTAGAAGAAGGTGAGTATCTCAAATTCAGCCAGAGTTGTACACAATAATGGTATTGGGCTAATTCTCAGTTACCAGGCTTGAAGCCCACACAACTACCATGGAGATTTTGTGAGCTACAAAATCATTCATAATATTCAAAGTGAATATCATTACATGAAATCCTATTTGCATTCCAATGAACTGTCACATGAGTTATCCCTATGGCATCTTCTTTGACAAACAATGTCTTCATTGAGTTCCCCTGAAATTTCCATGATGATATGGAAGAAAAGTCAAAAGAGACACTTTCTTCATTTTGTCAATAACTGGAGCGTCATGATCTGTCTATAACAGCTGAAAGGCTGTCTGACACTAGGAAACCTGGAAACACCCAAGAAATGTTATATCCTTTGCAAGACAGTTAGATACATAATGCTAGGAAGTCCTGGGACAATGACCTGTGATTCTCCCACAAAAGCTGTTTCAAAAAAGGCTATTTTGTCTCTTTTCGTAACAAACAGGAAGAGAGAATTCTCCTTAGTAGAAATTTCACCAGCAAACCAAGAACTACTTGGGCTGTAAATATTTTATACCAAATATTTTATACTGGTTGTTAGAGTTGCAGGTAAATTGAAATCATTGCTTAAAAATTATAATGCAGTCTGTTATGACCATGAGGTCCAGTGGCTAAGCGTGCTACCATCTCTTCAGTAAGATCCTGTTGGCAGGGGTATTGTCACAGCACACACTTTCCTATTAGGATGGAATCCTCAAGAGACTCCTGTGGCTTTGTAAGCAATCATTAGTGCAGCTTCCACTACAATTAAAAACATATGCCTAAATATTGTTTTTGAAAATGACACAAGTGTTTAAATACCAAAGTAAAAATTCTATGAAATGGTGCCAGAAACTTATGTGGTAAGAAAAGCCAAAGAATTTGTGCAGAAGTATGCTTCTTACTGTCTTCTATGAATAAACATTGCTGAATAGTTCATAAAGGCTTAACATTCCATCTATGAAATCTACATATTTATGTAGAAAATAGACATATTTCATGTAGGTTTTCATGGAAAAAAAAGCCAACTTGATTGTGGCATCAAAGTTCACCTTTAAGGCAGGCTTCACAAGAAAAAAGAAAAGTCATTTTCTTCTGGGTAATATGAGACATTATGGAGAGGTAATATTCCAAATTACCACACAGCCTCAGAAAAAACAAAATTGTTTTTCAAACACAAACTCCAAGTTGAATGATCTGAGCTAAGGCTAAAAGCAGCACTTTGTAGTCTCTCACATGAAGGCTGTATCTGTAGAGAACAAAGCTTAAATGCAAATGAAGATTGGCTTTTACAGTCACATTTATGAATTTATATTATTACATGAGTAACAATGGACACAGGATTTTCAATTTATCTTGACAAATATTTACTGAGCTTATCAGGCACTGTGATATGCCTAAAGAGAAATTAAATAGCAAGGAGAGATAGAACTTTGAGAGGAATGTGCAGTAATCAATACAAATACGGGAGACTGGATTAACTGCTGGGGGAAAAGTTTTCAAAGAGAATAAATTGAGTTTGAAGCATGATGTCTCAAATGTTAATGGGTTATACAATGTGTGTTATCTAACAGTAAGCTATACATGAAAACACTGAGCATAGGAAATGGTAAGGAATAACAATGTACATTTGGGATTTGTTTGCACAGAATGGATAATTGAAGCCAAGTGAATGAATGGGATGGACAAGGAATATTTTTAAAAAGGGGACTACAGACAGAACCTCAGGGAATACCCACACTCATGGGCAGGAGGAAGCCAGCTAAGAGGGAACTACCAGAAGGAAAGGATAATTATCTGAAACATGAGTGAAACAACTGGTAAAGTGAAATTCTACAATGCCAAATGATGCAAATAGGAGAGAGAGGTATTTCAGTGGTTAAAAGACTATTTTTCTTATCATGAGACCATGCAAGACTTTGGCAAAATCTGCAATACAGCAGAGGTGGCAGTGGGTGAAGATGGATATCTAGTTTCATAACCTGGCAAGTCTTCTAAGTCGATGATTCAGTGGAGGATTATAGGGAAGAATCAAGTGAGTAAGAATATAATTGACAACAAAAGTCCTGGAGATGGTATATGAGATACAAATTGAGAGCAGAGTGAGGAACAGTTGTTCTGGGAAGGAAGGATTATTCTTGAGATGTCAGGCAGGCAAAGAGAGGCCTAGTGAAAACTCAGATATGTCCAACTGTGGGAAAGGATGCCAAACTAGGATGCCAAAAAAGGATAACAAATCTAGTAGTACATTTTAGAAGATTCTCAGTCTCAGACCAGTACCAGCTGAAATTATATGAAAATGAAACATTCAGATCTGGCTTTAAGAATAAATAAGGATAAAATTAAAACCTTATCTTAGCACACTTTGGAAATTTTATTTAGCCAAGAAAAAGTATCCACATCTTAAATTGATTTAAGCACGAGTGCAATTTATTCCTTAATCCAGAACCCATATTCCACCACTGCCATATTTTATAATGACTTTTACAGATTGTTTTATGTCTATTTCCTAATCTACTACAGAAACTACCTAATTTCATAAGATAGTTCTAAGACTACAACAAGACGTATTGTTAAGAGTGTTCTTGTAAATGAAGAGATTTCATCAGTGCCCATACAGTAGTTAGGGATGTTTGAAATATATTTTAAATTATGGCCCAACTGACAAGCCAGGGTGTCTTTCTTATGAGTAGTGGTTCCTAAACTATTAATGTGCATCGGAATTACTTAGAGGGCTTGGGAAAACAGAGATGAGTGAGTTTCATTCCCAGAATTTTGTGGCCAGCACCTCAGAATTTGTATATCTAACAAGTTCTCAGTAATATTGCTGGTCCGGGGACCACACTTTGAGAACCACTGCTCCACAATATACAGTGCTAGTTATTCCATATCATGTGGGTCTATAAACAAGCATATTTTCATTCAACTTCTATCAAAGTAAATGTACATAATGTGTAGATGTACTAAAAGAGTGCCATCAATATTTTCAAAAAACTGTCTATATTTGAGTCAAATTCACTTCCAAATGTTTCATTGGACATGTTATCTGTCATTATCATTGTCCTTAGAAAATGGCTTCATGTATTGATTAAGAAGTCAGAGTCAGTTTCAGTTGAAAGGAACACTTACCTACATGGCTTATTCAATAAGAGCTAAACCAGCTTTGGTTACATCTCGATGCAATTCTAGTACTTAATCATTGCTTTTTTTTTTCCAAGGCAAGTAGAAGTTTTTCACAAAGCTGGTTCATTTGCAGTTTGGATGGAAAGTGCAGCAGAGAAATCATGCAAATATCTTGTAATGATAAATTGCCAAGAAAATCACATAGCCCTACCTACATATATTTTATAATACATATTTAACATATATATAATATATAATACATATATATATATATTCCTCAGAATAACTCTATAATTTACTTTATTAGCTTCATTTTACACATGTGGAAATTGAGGCAAAAAGAAATTAAATATCTCACTAAGGGCTAAGCAGATGTAATTATTGCAGTTTTTCTAGTTTCAATATCATGGCCCTTACCTACTATGGTAGGTAGCATATTATTTTATAATTTCAATATCATGGCCCTTAGCATATTATTTTGCTACATATTAAAGCATATCTTGGGCTCAAGTATTTACCTGTTCCGAGAAATAGGACATGGTATCTCCCATCCGCAGCGTGCACTCGATCCACAGCTATCTTTGTATACTTGTAGTCAGTGCCGATACGAACAATCAAAGGCCTTTTGTGGACTGGGTAGATGGAATTGTACATGAGAGGATGGTTCCGAATAAAACTGACAACATCATCTGGGAATTCCCTGGTGCTTCGTATATTGTGTGTAAATGCTCCTCCTGGACACTAGAAAGAAAGTTTTAAAGAACCAACTTAATAACATAGTTGTCTTATTCTAGTAATAATCAAAAACTCTGTACTTTTCAAATCACTTAGACGCTCCAGTTGCTTTAAGTGTATCTTCTACCATGGAGAAGAAAAAAAATAGCATGACTGTTATACTATTTGTAGAAGATTAATATAGTGTGTATAACTTGATACTTTGAATTAGGCTAAGTGCTTTTATGTTATTCTGTTTTCAGAGAAGAGCTGATGCCATCTTGTATATGAGATAACTCTTCACCCTTCTCACTCATCACTTTTCTACCTCTAATTTTGTGCCAGACACCATATAGTTAGAAAACAAAAACTTGTGGACACAATCTAATGCTGCTACTTGTTAAAATAAATTATATTATCATAATTAAGTCAAACTCTGACATTTAAAAATTTTATTTCATGTGATCTGCCCTCCCAAAAGAGAGAACTTAGAAATTGGAGCTTAGGGGCTGGGTGTGGTGTCTCATGTCTGTAATCCCAGCACCTTGGAAGGGTGAGATGAGAGGATGGCTTGAAGCCAGGAGTTCAAGACCAGCCTGGGCAACATAGCAAAATTCCATCTCTGGAAAAAAAAGTTTAAAATTAGCTAGGTGTGGTTGTGTGAGCCTGTGATCTCAACTCCTTGGGAAATTGAGGCAGGAGGATTGCTTGAGCCCAGGAATTTAAGGCTGCTGTGAACTGTGATTATACCACTGCACTCTAGCCTGGGCAACAGAGTGAGAGCCCATCTCTATTTAAAAAAAAAAAAAAAAAGGAGGAGGAGGATGAGGAGGAGGAAAGGAAGAATAAGGAGGGGAAGAAGAGAAGAAAGAAGAAGAAGAGAGCTTAGATTGGATATGGTAAATTAAATCTGATAATTACCCTCTATCAAAGATCCCATTCATTATCCTTAGAATAAAATCCCAACAGCTTAGAATGCCCTACATGCCTCTGCATGATCTGGCCTGAGCTTGCCCGTCCCACTGTAGGTCTTGCTGCTCCTGAGCCTCAAGCACATACTTCCCCTCCATGATCTTGGCACCTGCTGTTCCCTGTCTAGCATACTCCTCTCTAGAACACCTCATGCCCTTTTCTGTTACCTCATTCAGTTCTCAAAAGTTGCTTCTTGAAAGTGATGACATATGAAAGTAGCTCTCCCTCTCAGTCTCTACTTTTTGTCTCCTTAGCTTGCTGTTTTTCTTCACAGCCCTTATTTACCTAACAGTATATTATATATTAGTTGCTTGCGTCTTTTTTGCCTGTTTCTCCCTGTAGAACATAAGCTTGTGCTAACTGTAACTGGGTCTATTTTGTTATTGTTTTGCCATCAGACTTATAACAAAGCTGGTTAAAAGATAATAAAAACATGTTGAATGAATGCATTATATCATTCATTGTATCTGGCCTGCAATTTTGGTACAAGGTCTGTATGAAACCGAAGCCTCAATTCTATTCAGGAGGGAAAAGATTCAGAGCATTAAGTCCAAAGGGGCAGACAGAAAACAAGAACTAGATCTGGAGAAAGGATGGCTGAACAGCGCCAGCAGTTCTGGAAAGGGAACCTGACAAGGGCTTCTGAGGAGAAGATTCCATTCATAGGGCACCTAAGGCCAAACTTAAGGGTAGGCTGGGAACTGCTGAAGCCAGGAACTGAAACTTGCTCACTAATAGGATCTGAGTGTTAAGTTATATGAGCAAAACCTTTGGGTATATAACATTTTAACACATTTAAACATTATTACTAATATTAAACACCTGTCAATATTAAATTCCTGTTGATATTTTCACTTCCAGAAACAAAAACACTATGTTACATTTTTCTTGAAACACACAGCACTACTGTTTCAGTTTTCATTTATCTCTTTAGAGAGGTATGCGTAAAAGGAAAGTAACAAGCTGCCTGGTCCAGCAATAGGCACAGCATCAGTCATAAATAGCAGGATGCAGTGGGGACTGTGACAAACTGGGAACTTATGTGTTGCCCAAAGATCCAGCTGATTGCTTCTAAGCTGGAATAAAATCTTCATGCTGCCAGACCTCAGCAGAAGATAGAATGTGGAATTTTGTGTAAAATCTGCCAATTGTTTAACGTTGACTCAATAAAAAAAGAAAAAAAAACCTGGGGGACCAACGAAAATATGACAATCTCCAGGTTAAATCCCTGCACCAGCTGCCCAACAGTATTAGTGCCTTTGGGCCAAGGTTGTCAGGCAGACCTCTATGTGCAGCTAGATCTCAGCAAATTACTAATATCGTCTCACTCATGTAGATTGCATCATCATGAAGGCAATTTTTAGACCTACTGTGACCAGTTAACATCACTAGAACTTTTTACAGACCTGATAAATATAGTTCTCCTTTTGTAGAAAGGCATGAGGAACAACTAAAAGACTTAAAAGAGTAGCAGTAATGAGACAAGTAATAAAACGAAACCTCTCATTCTTTTTTCCACTAACTAGACTTTCATCTGGATTTCATGTTTTTATTTTAAAAATAGTATTATATTTAAATACACATGTTTATAAGTGGCTCACAATGAAGACCAAAATGAGGACAAAAAATTTAATTTGAGGTTGTTCTAAGCTGATGAGTGTGTTCCACACTTCTGCAAAATATAGAATTATGGGTGTTTTCTAGCCTTAATCTTCACACAAGTGGAAAAAGGGAAATACATCACTCACTGCATGAAAACATGGAAAGAGCAATACATGGGTAATTTGAATAGTTCCAGATCTCCATAAAACACCACTAATTATGGCTTGCTAAACTGATATGTCTTCTTAAGTATTTGCAAGCATTCTTGTTTCTAAGTTCTGGAAAAATCCAAAGTTAGCACATATTACTAGACAATTATATAATTTCCAGTTAGTACAGTTTGATGTGTGATAAGCTTATTAAATTATCAGTGCCTAGTCTCTGGCTTTTACTTAAAGGTAATTGATATCTGGTACCAATTACATTAAGGTTGCTCAAAACCATAGTTATTATATAGGTAATCTGAACAAATCAAATCAAATAAGTTATTTTGCATTCACTCAAATATTCCCCACAAGACATTCTTTTAATACCCACAATGAATTTATCACCTAAAACAAGTGTCTCCTAGTATGAGTTTATGTTCCAATCTACCAAATAATTCTTACTGAAAAAAATTAATTCTTCTATTGATTCATGGCATCAACTTTCTTGGTAAGACAATGAGTGTTAATAATGTAACACACATAAACATTGATTGCCCTTTATAGACTTTATATGCAGTACTGAGTTTTCTCAGTGTAATGCTGCCAAGTATAAATCAGATGTGATTAACTTTTCTCTCACTTTGCATACAATAAAGCATGTTTATTGAAACTTCAAGATAACATAACATCTATGTGCCATCATAAAATATTTGTCCACTAATTAGGCTGGTGTTTCATTCTTTAGAACATTAATTTTACTCTGCAAATAGTCATTAAATTATTTTGGTTAAACTTCTCCTTTAAGTGTTCAGTTCTTCTAGCTAGTTGTCTATCAAGTAATGATAAGCACTCCTTCTTTGAGTAAAGACATTTATGTGTTTTGATTAAAGTGTGAGATGAAATGCTAGGAACAATAAGAAAGCTATGTTAAGAAAGTAACAGCAATTGTCCATACCAAACTTCTTTTCTATACTTAGGTATTCATAAATATCTTCTGCCTTCTTAAGTTTCTAAATATTCTCTTAGTCTTCACATCCGTTTGACTAGTTTTTCAGAATATATTTACATATTAACATACGTATCCATTATTTGGACATATTTTATCCAAAAAGCACTTTGATGTGCCCAGTAAGGGGACATAAGAATAAAAAATTACTGTTGACTTCTAGACACAAGTATTCTAGTAAGAAAGACATATTTAAATCAAAATAACAATATTATGACAAAAAGCAATAATTTGAGACAAGTATAAGATAAATAACCAGTCCTGTTTTAGGATCAATTTCCCTACGTACTCAAGAGCCAATATTTTAAAAAGGAGTTTATAATAGTAGATAACTTACAGCTGCCAAGGTCAGTGAGATGTTTAGAGATGAGAAAACAAAATTTAGAGTATTTAGAGAACTGAAATTCCTAGAGCATTGTTGGACCATGGAGTCCAAAATGAAGGAAAGAGGTAGAAGGTGAGGCTGAAGACAGACAGCAGAATATAAATGCAAAGCTAGGCAGAGAAACTGTGACTGGTGTGGTCAAGGGATCTTAACCTAACACTTGGGGGATGAGTGGTATATGGATAAACAGAAGGTCTGAGTGGCACTCTAGAATCTAGGCTTATTTCTAGTACTGGTCTATGAAAGTTGTATACTAAGAAAAACTCATTGTATATGTTTCAACCTTGGTAACCCAAGCCCTTTGTTTGAAACCCAAAGAATTACATAGCTGAAGACTGGTACTTATCTGTCAGCTCGCCCTCATCTTCCTATATTTGCCCTCCCCGACATACAAAACCCCATTGCCCCAGTCCTACTATCCCACATAGAGCTTCCAAAACTCACTTATTCATTTCCATCTGTGCCTTGTAGTGTATGTTGTGCCCTTCATCTGAAAACCCCTTCCTTCCTTACTCAATGTATCCAAATCCAATCACTCTTTAGGGCAAGCTCAATCTCACATTTTTTTTTTATGCCTTTTTAAGTCAGGCTGTTTTACTACAGTCTCTCTCTTCTCTAAATATTAATAATATTTATTTTTAAAATTTTACTCACATGTTTTGAATAATGATGTGACAAAACATGTAATTAATTTTTCATGTCTATGTGCCTTATGCATTCAACTTTCTTGGAAGTGTTCCTGACTGATGTTTTCAAACATCTAAGAGAAATAGAAATACTCTAATGTAAGCACAACCAGAAGACGTATGTAATCAACAAAGGTGCCAGCAATAAAATTCTCGTATCCTTGCCACCACTGACTATGTGGATCATCAATTTTCTGTGATCCTTTGCTGGTACCAGACCTGTCCAAAGCATGAAGATTGAAGCACATGACTCTGCTATACTTATAAAGAGATGTTAAAGTTGAATACTTTCATTAAGTTCTGCTTTAACAGGATATACAACATATATAAACAATCTCCTGCAGAAGCTTTATACATGTTGCAACAGAATAATGGAATATGTTTGCTCGGCCTCAGAGTATTCATTCTTTGGCTGCCCTTTGCAACATACCAAAGGTGTCTTGTTTCTTCCACAAACTTGAATTACTTATGGAAAAACATTATGACACAATTGGCAGGCTTCTTCCTACTGACTTGGGCTTGCTGGCGGGGCGGTTTACTAACAGAGCTATCAACCGTGCTTTAAAAGAAGCACCTACAGGGAACATTAGAATGAGGGCATGAGATTTCTGCCAGTGTCATTTCTTTAAGAGCACAGTTATATAGTTATGGGGTTGACTGGGCAACCATACTACTCTATATATGACAATCACAATTGATACTTCACTGGGAGGACATCAGAAGCGACATTCTTAACCTTGGAGAAGAGAGAATACTTTTGGTCACTTGGCTGCAAGTCTTCTGGCTACATGAGCAGGCTATTAAACCCTGCAAGTGCAGGGAAGAGACAGACACTGGCACTTTCAGTCAGAGAGCTGACCTCATGGTGTTTTGCTGGTTGAAGGGTGGAGGGACAGAATCTTCAGGGAGGTACACTTTTCCAGGAGGAGATCCCGAGGTCACTCCTCCACCCTGCCTCTTTTATTCTCAAAGGATCACTCATCTGACAATTTTTTGATTTAAAGAAGCTGCTCTGCTCTCAACACCAGATGTAAGAAACCACATTATAGAAATATTTCTCAAGTACTGACTACTCCCTTTTCTTCATGGAGTCTGCTCCAGATGTGTGTTGCTAACTCTGGCTTATTCTACACTGCTTTGGAACAAGAAACAAATGTTCATTCTTGAGAGCTAAAAAACAGTGAAAAGTGGAACTGTTAGCAGAATCTTCTCATTTAGCATTGGTTTACTCCATTTTACTAAAAAGGATTTAGTAAGAAGTGTTTAGGATTCCTACATTTCATGTAGAACAACAGCTGCCTGACATGAGTGGTTTTCTCACCATGATTCTCTAAGTTCTACACACCTGTTAAGGTGCCCTTCAAGTTGTCAAGTGGGCGAAGAGCCTGATGAGAGGTAAAGTCAGAGGTCACTTTTCTTCAGGAAAAAAAATGCACGTACTTGTAGCATTTGCCAGTTTCCATGGTGTAAATAGTCTCACCATGGCTGATTTCAAGTTACCACTCTAACGTTCTTAATAGAGAAGAGGTGCACATTATCTGCTCTTGTGAGCTGGGTACATGCTGGCTCCAGCGCAGACTGCATGAAGCTCTGAGGCCTCAAACTCTGATTCAAGCAGTATGGATCTCTTTCATCTTTTTAATATCTTTATTTGAGGAGTTTCTCTTAAGTTTTTTTGGGGGAAATAGAATTTTGTTGAGTTTGCAAATCAGTTGTCCCTGTACTAACCCTATTTATATGTGGTTCAAAAGAATCATTGATGAAAACACATGTAATCACAACTACCTCTTAATTTTCCCTATTTAGATGAGTCTATGACTAGGTCAATTTCAAATAGAAAGTCACTCTCAAAAGTCTGATATTTTTCTCTAGAAATGCATAAAATATGTTGAGTAAAATAATAAGAGCCTTTGATATATAATGGAATATGAAAGTTGTCCAGCCTCCCCTTCCCCTTCCTTTTCTCATAAACAATCTCTGCTTGTTATCCAATACCCCCCAATCTAAAACTGCTGATGCTTTTCCCTTAAACTGCTGATGCTTTTATACAAGATTAATGTTTTATCCATCTTCTTTTGAGCTGTGAATATCAAAGAGGAATAATCCTAAAGGATATTGTAAATTCTGTGACAGGAGTTTGTCACTTATAATTAAGTAAGACCTAAACATTTAATGTTTTTATGAACAAGTACCTAGTCTCCTAATTTTTCTAAAGTTGATTAAAGATCAATTGTTCTGCATAAAATACATTTGAATGATTAGTCTTTGAGCTTCCTAGCCAAGTAACCAAACTCAAGCTTTAAAAATTTTGGATTGGCTGGGCGCGGTGGCTCACGCCTATAATCCCAGCACTTTGGGAGGCTGAGGCGGATGGATCATGAGGTCAAGAGATCGAGACCATCCTGGTCAACAAGGTGAAACCACGTCTCTACTAAAAATACAAAAATTAGCTGGGCATGGTGGCGCGTGCCTGTAGTCCCAGCTACTCAGGAGGCTGAGGCAGGAGAATTGCTTGAACCCAGGAGGCGGAGGTTGCGGTGAGCCAAGATCGCACCATTGCACTCCAGCCTGGGTAACGAGCGAAACTCCGTCTCAAAAAAAAAAAAAAATTTGGATTAAAACATGCTCTTTAAAGGCTTAGTAAACTATGTTTTCAATTTTCAAAAAATTGACATTAGCATAATTTAAGAAGATGAGAAAATAAAAGAGTAAGCAATATTGCAAATGAACTCTAATAACAAAAATACAATGAATCAACAATTAGTAAAAATTACATAGGATAAATATTTGGAAGAATATTAGCAAAGATAACTTCAAATTCAAGAAAAAATAAACACTTTGCTTAAATGTTAATAGCTATCTTTTGATTTTTAAAATAAATTCATTATTCATATTTACCCATTTTAAAATGATAACCCTATTTTATGAAATGCAGAAATAAAAGATTATATTTCTCTTAATGTTCAATTGTATAACATCTCTTGGTGTACCGTCTGACATTTTAGAAACAAAAACTAGCCAACATTCTAGAAGGCAGCATTATTATAGGCCAAATGAGAAAGAAAGAGTAGGATTGTTATTAATGGAGTCTTAGAAAAATTCCAGTTCTAAAATTCCAGTGCACTGTATGTATCTTCAGCTGGAAAACTGAGTTTTCAATGTGTCCTTAATACTATTGATATTGCATGATATGGATATATCCACCTGCTTTAAAAATAATACTTCTAGTTCAGACCATTCCTAATTAGAAAGCAGCCTGTAGTTAAACAGTTCTAATTTGTGTGTTACTTTATAGTTTATAAATATTTTATTTGAATAATTATATCTCATTTGTTGTAATTATCTGCTTACACATACATTTTCTTTCTTTGAGATATATATAAAACACAATTTTTATCTAAATAGATTCCTAGAACTGGAAATATCTCTATATGAAGTATCTCTAAATTATTTCTCACATGATTATTCCTTAATTAAAACAGATATTCAGGCCTAGCACAGTGGCTCACGCCTGCAATCCCAGAACTTTGGGAGGCCGAGGTAGGTGGATCACGAGGTCAGGAGTTCAAGACCAGCCTGGCCAACATGGTGAAACCCGATCTCTACTAAAAATACAAAACTTTGCTGGGCGTAGTGGTGTGTACCTGTAATCCCAGCTATTTGGGAGGCTGAGTCAGGAGAATCACTTGAACCTGGGAGGTGGAGGTTACAGTGAGCTGAGGTCATGCTACTACATTCCAGCCTGGGCAACAGAGCAAGACTCCGTCTCAAAAATAAAATAAAAAACAGATATTCATTTATTGTTAAATGATTTTTTTATAAAGTATCTTGAAGAATTTTTCCTGAATACTTACAGTTCCAGGGCGAGGATATGGAATTCTGCCCTGATAGGAAATCACCTGATGATTGGGCCCTTCTTTGTGGGCAAAAGGCCCATTAAACACAGTCTGTATATCAGATAAATGATACACACACACTGCTGATCCTTTGAAAACTGAGCTAAAAAAGAAAACAGAGAAAGGCATTTTCTCATTTTTAAAATTAAAATACATTTTTAAAATATATGGTAAAACATGATAAAAAGTTAATATAATTCATCATAGAAAAGTTAAATGTTACTGTATACATGTGAAAAGTTAAAAAATTTTGAAAAAAGATGATACATAAAGCATTAAAATATGCAATTCATCCATGGAGATAGTAGACAGTATATTATAGTGAAGTCCTTTTCAATGTTTCCAAAATATAGGAAAACTTTGAGAAGTTTCTAACTAGTTTATCTTAGCAACAAGAAAAGTATATTGAAATTTTATTTAAAAGTATGAATTTCAATTTCAAATCACTATCTATGTGACCTATCACAATCTAACTCAAAGAAATAAATCTCATTAATAATTGAACACCATATCTTTTTGTATCATGATTATTTTAATATGAGTGTTCTCACATGGTATCTCAAATGTTAGTTGGAGAAGTCTATGTTGTATGGTTTATGTACTTTTTCTGTGGGTCACAAAACAAAAAATAGGGGCCCAAAAAAGATTCATTAAACCATCTTTAGTCATTGACACACCATAAAATTTGTTTGAATCCTTAGTAAGAAATATTTCCATTGTCCTATGGCAGGTTGCCTGAAATCAGTATTTCTCTGACTCACATATTTATTTCAAATTAGATGTCTAATAAAAAAAGGTGCATTCCCATAAAAAACAAATAAGATACACTGTTAACTATTAGCATTAGTAGAGAGAATGATGATTTTGAATTTTTTGATATTGAAGTTACTGGTATTCGGAAAAACAAAACTAGAAAAATAGTTTTAATGGGAACAATATTTTCTCAAGACAACTTAAAACAGGAGTTAAACACATCCTTAAAGACATCTTTTTAGACATCTTGTGGGGCAACTACAAATATTCAAAAACAATATTCTTGTAAATTTCTTTCACTTTGAATAGCTCATTACAGTTTACAAGTATAATATGTTTTCCTCACTTAAAAAAAAAACAGCTACAGCCTTTAGATTTTTGTTTTGTAGTTGATTGTCTAATCAAAGGGACCCATTATCTTCTACATTGGCTAAATACAGCTTAACTCTAAGGAATATGCTTAGTTTAAAATGAATAAAGAAAAATATGTGCAGGAAAAGGCAAAAATACAATTTGTTACCTTGAAATGTATACTTTAACCAGTTTGGGCGTCCCAGAGCAGTGAGAAGACATTAAACTAATTTTCAAATATATAAAATAATGTCATATAGAACGAGAAAATTGGTTCAGTGTTTTGTTAGGTTCTAAATAGTCATCACTTTACATCAGAAGTAAAAAGTATTTTTATAGAAATGCCTAATTATTTCCAGATTTCCTAAGGTATAGTTGGTATACCAAAAAAATACAGTACATAATTAATATATACAATGTGGTAAGTTTGGGCATATATATATATATATGTGTATATATATATACACATACACTTGTGTTACATTACCACAATCCAGGTGATAAACATTTATTACCTCTGATAACAGCAACCAAAAAATGCCAAAAGTTGTATTTGCTCATGAGTGCTCAAATTACTTTCTTTAAAAAACTTATATATTTTTTCCTACTTTATACTTCATATTTTCATTTGTTTCATAAAAATATCATGCAATCATTACAAATACACTCTACAAAAGTATTTAAAAAGCATTAATTGGCTCCAACATATTTTGGTAATCAGGAAAATGTAAATAAAATGGAAGGGTCACATCCCAAATGCCAAGTAAAATTAAAAGTTGAAGAGAAGAATGCTTTTATAATAATTACTGTTACTCTATGAAGTTTATGTTTAACTCATGAAATGTAACTGTTGAATAATTACCTTGATGCTGTAAAAATGCCATACACTAGTGTTGTTCTCGGGTTATCAGTTTCCAGCAGAAACACATCCTCTATAAAAAGGAAAATACCAGTCTTTTAAAGTCTCCAAGTATTAACTTCATTGTTTTGAAAAATTTACCCTAAGAAAATAATTTCAACTATGAAAAGTACTCTGCAGAAAGACAGTCCTGTACCTTGGTGATAATTTGGAAACCAGTAAATGATAGAAACACTAAAATAATACAGATACTAATGGATTTTATGAAAATTTTGTATCCTTGTGAAAAACCACGCTAGTAAAATAATATTATGGGGAAAAATACAATAGTATATTATATGGACTACAACCATATTAACATAAAAATATCCATCAAAATACAAGAAAAAGATTAACAGTGAGTGTTCCAGGAGGCAAAGCTGTAGGAATTTTCTGGTTGCTTCTTTCTAAATATCCTTCAATGTTAATATATTTCTTTTTTTAATTAAAAATTACAAATCTCAATTTCTTTTTATCTAATGTTAGGAGCTGGAAGACAGAATAAAAACTTTTCATAGTGACTTACCATCAAATAGAAATTTTTGTGGCATATGGTCAAAACTGCTAGTGATACTTCTATTTAATGATAGCTCCTCTAACAACAAGATGTTTAAAATAAATTAAAGGCAAAGACAAAAGTATGCCTAGTAAAGTGATAAATAACACAATATGGAAGTAGATTTCTCATAGAAAACTCTAATTAATAATAAATTGCCACAATTATATTTAAGGTCTAGATGTAGTGACAATCTTGCTAACATAATTATTGCTGAGAAACACAAAGAAATATGTATTTACTTTAAATTAACAATGAATTTAAGTGACCTCATAAGCAATAAATATTTAACCACTCAAGCAATAAATTAATAACCACTAGCGCTTCCATATGTGAATAAAGGCTGACAATGTCTAGCTCTCCCTAAAGAAAAGAAAATTTGAAACATAAAATACATTCACAAATATCTAGGGGGATAGAATGAACGGGTAGGCTATTTCATAAAATGATACTTAGAACTTTTCTCTAGAAAAGCTTATCTAGAAAAGTTTGTTCCATAATCAGCATAATGGTTTTTGAGCAGAACAATGATCTATTTCATGTTTATAACTATTAGAATCAGTAAACTTTTTCATACGGTAACAGATTTATTGCAATGACCATTATTTTATATATTATTGAATTAAGGTGAAAGAAAAGTCATTTATAAATGGCATTTAGTAAATATGATGTGCACTGGGATATTCAGATTAAAAAAAAAAAACAAAAACCTGTTCCTTGGCAGGAGGGAATCAAACTGTCAGTCCTTATTTGACCTGGAAAGTATAAGTCTCCTCCTGTCACACTGAGAATACTTAATCTCAGGGTCACCAAGCAGAACTAAGCAGGAAACATGAGTCTCTAAATGTAAACATGAGTCTACACTGACACTTTTTTGCATCCAAACTCTATCCTGTCCGTTAGCTACAATAGTGAAAATATATACCTGTATTTTTACACAAAATCAGAATATTACATATTCTAATATACATAAAATAGTCATTTATAAAAACACTTATTATTACCTATATGCAAATTATTCAAGTTACACCCCCAAAAACACACACTCATTCATATATCATGGTGATTTCCATGAGCTAAATGTTTCAGCAGTGCCCTCCTGACATAATAGATTAAAAAACACTTAATTTATGACCAGTATGTAGATCATTAATTCAAATTAGCACATTATTTATACTGAAAATATCTATGGAAAACACACACTCTTCTGAGATCTTATTTAAATATATAAACTTTATAAGCCTTCTTTCAGAAACATTTTTCAATCTCTATGTATGTACCTAATTCATCAAAGTGTGTTTCTGGGCCATCTTCATCTGTTACCGAGCATACCAGCCTCGCCTTTAAGAAAGTGGTCCACCTGTTGACAAGGCTACGCAGTCCACCAGAGTCATTCTAAAACCATTTTGTAAACATAATTCAGATCGCTTAAGTAAATATTGAAGCACATTAAAAATTCAACTTGAACGCTAGTTGCTTGGAGAATGAAAATCTGAAGAACAGATATGTTAACCACTTTTGTACATTGATAGTCAAAGAGAAATACTTATGACTTATGGTATTTTATACAGTAGTTATACTATTCTCTTATAGCATGATATCAGTTGAAAATACATGTACTTGATAAATGTATGACATAAATATTTCTAATTTTAACAATGTATAATGGAAGTATTTATAAAATGCTATGGAATATAGATTGTTTAATTTCCCTTTCATTGATAACTGTCTTCAATTTGAACATAACTTATTATGCTCAGTGAGTCTTGCAGATTGTAGTCAGGAGAGTGGTTCTGTCTTTACACCAAATGGTCCCCAATAGTTTTATATTCACTCCTTTATTTACCCAAATTATCACATAATTTTCAGTATTTCTAATCTGATACCTTATTATACATTATTTATCTGGCCAGCACAGGGGAAATGGCATTTGAATCATTCACAAAGAGTCTCTATTGAAGATACATTTTTTCTTTGTCTCCAAAGGCCTTTTACCCTTTCTGCTGACTTTGCTATCTTGTTCCAAATGACTGAGAAACAGTTGAGCTCCATGATCAGTGGAATATTATAATACATAAATAAAAACTATTTTAAATACTAAGCACAAACATTTTTTCACAAAGGATGGTAATCATACATAAGTCAGGACAAGTCTGTAAAACTCTATTATAGAGAGGACATCACAAATTTTCTTGCGTTATATATACTTATTGTTTCTACACAACAACATTTTGGTTGCTGTTTTTAATTAGAATTTTATTTTATTAAAGCTTTCCTTAATTTTCACTATTTATAAATGGTTCCTTAATGATCATCTTTAACTGAGATATTTGCTGTATTTTATTCACAAAAATAAATTTCTTTTGGTCATATACAATTTAACCATTTTCATACCAAATGGATATACAAAAATTTGTCACAACTATTCATCTGTTTAAGAACAGAACCCAAAATATTTTCTTAAGATTTTTACAAAAGTAGGGTACATTTATCTCATATAACTTATTCACAGTTAGAGTTTGGGTTTGGGTTATAAACACTATATTCAGTGTATAATAATGATAATGAATAACTGTTATATTAAATGTTTCCCTGAATATTTCATTTATTGATATATAACAATTGATAATAAAAACATGGAGATAAACCATAATTTGAATGTCTTGGTCTTGCTTCAGATCAGAACAGCATTAATACTTACAGGACATATTCGAGCAATCATGGAATGAATCTCTTTTGTGACCCTGTTACCATCAGTCAGTTTTTCTTTGAAGAAGAAGAATATCTTAGCATCATTTGGATCAGTACCATCTGGGATGACATGTGCATCTATAAACACAGGTTCTAGAAAAAAATATAAAAGACTGTATAGTTATTCATGATGAAAATCCATCTTCTATTCATCCAAATAGACCACAGGCACATGCCTTTCCCATCTTTGGCAGAAAAACAATTGAAGGCAACATTTCTAAAAGCAGTAATTGCATTCGCTCACCATACCACATTTGGAATGTCAAGTACCACAAAGCATAGCTATAACATGAGAACCTACTTTTTTTTCTGTCTGCAATACATTCTGGAAGTGCAAGAAATGCAAAAATTCTTTGTGCACCGATGAGTCTAAAAAAATTGAAAAACTTTTCTACCAGTTATTTCCCAAGGAATCTGATGGCTGTTTTATCGAAAAAAAATTATTTTTCAAAGTGTGTTTTTCAATCTAGTGCATATAAACTCCAATTCACTGAAGCAGAATGAAGAGTTGGAAGTCCAAGAGCTAAAAATCATATTTTTTTTCTTAAATTGCAACATATTAAATGAAGGAGAAACTTTTCAAGGAGAAACAGTGTCATTAGTCATTTGGAGACATACAGCGTTTCCTTATTTCAAGAACAAAACAACTTTTAGAATACTCTATTTTCAGATGTATTTGTGGAATAATCTGAAGAAGTAAATGAACAATCAAATGCTTTCTTGTGCTGGCCTATCAGGGAAATAGGATGCTTCATTGTGGTGATTCATGCTTAACTGTGCAATGTTCAGTGAACTGCCACATTTAGGGTCGGCTAAAAATTTTCTCTAGGGTGAAATGACAAGATTCTTAGCTTTTTAAAAATTCCTCTAAACAACAGCATTTGATTGAAATAACACAGTAAAATCAAATGAGCACCTTTTTTTGATGTGAAGTCCATATGATACCAAGAACTGGAGGCAACTGAATATGGATAATCATAAAGTTACCATTCCTGTGATTTCTATTGAATATTAGCCCATTTATGAAAAAACACATGCCATTTTTATAATTTTAGAATCTAAGTTTAAAACAAAAAAAGAGGAGGCCCTCACTATTATTTATTGCATCTAAATGTCAGACATTTGGGATAATTTTTAGATTTGTCATTGTTAAAATATACAAGAAGATTAAATGAAGTAAAAAGCATATTTAATTATAATATGTTACAATTAAACAACCAGAGAAGATGCTTAGGCACTGAAATATATGATAAATTATCACTGTCACTTTTATTTATTCATATTCATATGATAATTGTAGGATGATTAACAGAAATAAAGATCTGGAATACTGACTATGAGCTATTTAATTATTTATTTCCCCCAAATATTTTAAATCATACAGTACAGAATTACCATTATTCATGTTATAGCCTTAGTTTTTAACCATTTTCCCTAGTTGTTACAGTGGAATTAAAAAAGTTAGTTTAAAGTATGATAACAAAAAATAAATGCATCAAATGCTTTCTTACCACTTAGCCATTTGGAATTGTATTGATCAGTTCTGACTGGATTCCTCTTGGTTAAACTTCGAAAAATAGCAGAATCTGTCCCCATGAAATCTATATACACTGCAGAGAAAAGCTCCTCATCTATGAAAAATAAAATGTTAATAGAAATGTAAACTTTAAAGCTATTTTGATATTCTAGGTGAGTTTATTTATTAGGAGATCACCACAGGTGTTACAGTGTTATGATAATTGGTTATAACCAAACATTATTTGGTTTGCATTGTCCAGCAAATCAATACATTTTAATCTTTCATCATTATTGCCTGAATAATTACTATATTTTTTAAAAAATCAAACCTCAAAACAACTTTATTCTATGTAAAAGTGAAAGTTCCTCTACCTATACTTTTACTATGTAGTATTTTTTTTTTTTTGAGAAGGAGTCTTGCTCTGTTGCCCAGGCTTCAGTGCAGTGGTGTAATCTTGGCTCACTGCAACCTCTACCTCCTGGGTTCAAGCAATTCTCTGCCTCAGACTCCTGAGTAGCTGAGATTACAGGTGTCTGCCACAATGCCCAGCTAATTTTTGTATTTTTTAGTGGAGATGGGGTTTCACCATCTTGTCCAGGCTGGTCTTGAACTCCTGACCTCATGATCCACCTACCTTGGCCTCCCAAAGTGCTGAGGTTACAGGTGTGAGCCACCATGCCCAGCCACTATATAGTAATTTTTATATAGAGTCTATTAGAAATAGTAGATGAATGATAGATAACAAAACAGCTTAATTGTTTACCTGTAATAAATTTAAAAGAAAACACTATAAGAGTCAGAAAACATAGTTTCTATTGGTAATCGCTAACAAATTGGGAATTAGGGCCAAGTTTGAATATTCTGAGTCTCAACCTTCTAATCTATAATGTATGGGAATTAGATTATGTTCTTAAAAGTTCTTAACACATATTAAAATTTCTATGATCTTCCTAAATGGACTGAATATAACAGTTTTAAAAATTATTATTATGTCAAGGAGGCCACATTATAATTGTCAACATAGTATCAGTGATTAAAAATTTAATTACTAAAAGTATATATTTTGATCTTTACTGCTAGAAGGTTCCCAGTAAGGTAAACAAGGTGCTACTTTTTCTATTGCAACTCAGCCATAAATTAGAATATGATGGTAAGAAAGAAAAGATATTTAAAATTAAATAAATTATCACTATTAACAGAATCAGATGTATTAATCTATACATAATATTCAACATTTAGCTTATTGTTTGAAGGTCCATATTACTTTTCATCTAGTGAGGAGCAGTAAGCATTGAGTTGGTATCAACATGACCCCTGAGTATAAAAGAGTTGCTTAATATCTATTTTAAAAAGAATGAAATGTATCAACCTGGCCCACTGAACTGCCATGCAGTTGCATTCCTTGACTGTTGCTCTAGGATTACTCCCTGGGCTACATTCAGACTGTGGTCATTTTGGCAGGATTGGAACATTTCAAAGTACTCTAAACTCACTGTTTAGTAATAAGCAATACCAGTTGGCCCAGCATAGAATGGAGAATGGAAGGTATCTAATATGTGCTCACCAGGTTATGAACTGGACCCCTACCAGTTAGCAAGCTGGTGTGGCAGGCATTTTGTTCCTCAGCTCTCCTTCCTAGTAGGGATTCTAGGCCCATGGAAATAGATTACAGGGAGATAACAAAAATGTGCATAAAAACTTTTTTAAAAAATCATTTTAGCTTCTTTAAAATTCTGAGAACATTTGTGAGGCTTATATACACACACATATGGCTATTAAATTGTGATAACTTTGCAAATAGTTATTTCAGACTTTTGTTATATCCCATTAACCATAAAACCATGGATTATACATTCCTGCTGTTCAACAGATTGATTAGTAGAATCTACAAAAGTCGATATCATAGAAACAGAGAGTAGAAAGGTAATTATCAGGGACTGAAAGGTAGAGGGAGGGACAAAAAGAAGTGTTCATCAAAGGGTACAAAGTTACAGCTAGACTAGGGGAATAAGTTTTGGTAATCTACTGTACTGTACAGTGACCAAGGTGACAATAAATAAAATTTATTGGATATTTCAAAACTGCTTAAAAATAGGTTTTAACATTATCACCATAAAAATAAGTTGGTAAGGTAACAGATATGTCAATTGGCTTGACTGAATTTTTCCTTTATGTATACATAGATCAAAACACCACAGTTTCCTATATATACAAAATTATTACTTGTCAACTAAAACAAATAAAAAATAATGAAAGAAGGTAAAGAAAAAAGTACTAAAACATGAGAAAAAGTGGGTGTACTTAATACTACAAACACAATTACAGAAAACACTGAAAATGACTTTATCATTATACGTAACTATAGGTATACATATACATACTTTTAAAAAATGCTTGGCTTGCTCTAGGTATGACAAAACTGTCATTTATCGATGGAAAGTTACAGGCTTATCATTAATCACAAATATTTTTACAAATGAGAACTGAATTCTCTATTTTTCAGCTCACAACTTTCTTCCTATTGTTTTACTCACATACTATCATCTATACAGCCATCAAGGACAGGCACACCTTGTCATGCTAATTTTCCATGTTATTTTATGTTTAATCCATTATCTACTTACTGATCATAATAGACACCGTGTTCATAGTGGGGCTGAAAGAGCAGCGTCCTTTTCCAGATTCATACTTGGAGTCCATCATGAAAACTTGGTCCTTTATTGTGGATAAAATTTAAAATGTGGCAATGATAACTTATTTAATCAAGACAATTGTCATTAGTAAAACGAAGCATAGTTAAAATCAATATGCTTTCTAGTTGGTTGCTTATGCCTTCCAATTTACTATATTAAGATTTATTCAAACTATGAGAACAGTCCATCTGTAATTACACCCTAACCTCAGCAGGGCTAGCTCTCATTCTATTACACTCCCCATAGAGCTGATGCAAGAAGTTATTCTCCTCAAATCAACATCAGCAAAAATCACTTGAAAATCAAGTATTATTATAAACCTCAACTAGATGTGTTGAACATCAGCCAAAAGAAGAAAATGGTCCACAGAGGAACAATCTATGTAAGGACTATAATATTTTCAAAATAATTAATATATTTTTTAAAATAAAATTTTACATTATTAAATTTAATCATGTAAGGCATTATACAAGATTCAACAAAATAATTCATAATTTAGATTTAAAATGTGCTATTTACTCATGAGTTTATTTAATGAAAATGTACTGGGCATCTGCCACGTACCAGAAACTGACTAAACACTAGGGATATTGTAAACAAAATACATGAAAATCTTTGTCCTCAAGTAATTTATAATCTAGTGAGAAAGAGAATAAATAATTAAAATATGGAGTATGTTAGATGAAGCTTGCTACTGAGCAGAAAAGTTAAGCAGGAAAAGGGAATAGAGAATAATATAGATTGGGGGCAACAGATTCAATGGTTTTAGCCTCACCAAAATGGAATATATTGTCAGTATAAATATGTACCTTTTTCTTACGTAAAGTTAATAGAAGTCTCTTCCTAAAATTCAAAGTAAAAAAATGACCATTTTAATAGGTCAAATAAGATGATAAAAAAGCTTAATTATAAAGTTAAGGTTTTTGAAATTTATCCTGAAAGAAATATGAACTCAGTAATATTTTTGCGTGTAGAAATGGAAAAACCAAAACCCTGCTCTAGGAAGGGGGACCGTATTGTGAGCTTTAGGAAGATTGGGAATGAAATGTATAAAACTGGACACTGCATTCAGGAAAATGGGTTAGTTTCCTATTACAAGAGTCCAGGAATTAGGTAATAATAATCTGACTTGGCATGTTTTCAGTGATCACGGTAAGAGCAGTAGAGAGGTAAGAAAATTTATAGTGGCAGTCAACAGCGCTTGGCAATCAATTATAATTTGGTGGTTCTAATTTTATTGTACTTGTTGTCCTTTTCACATTTTCTCCATACCTTGAAAGAACACATTTATTACATTCTCCATACATGCCTCCAAACTACTGTTTTGTAAAAGATAATCTAAAACGGTAAATCCAAATAAATTATAGATTTGTGATCATCAATCACAATTTCTAATTGATCATATTCAGGAAAACAAAGATGATTCTGAAGTTCCGACTCCTTGAAAAAACAAACATAGTACAAAGTTGTTGTACTGAGTTTCTGCCCTACTGTAGGACCTCCCTAAAGGTAATAGAGAATAATAGAGCTTAAAAAGAATCATAGTCCTCTAGCCTAAAAAGATTATTTTTGAGCATCCTAAGATCTTTGTCAATGAAGTCACTCTGCAGTCGATGAAAAAATATGACTTGTCCAGAAGACCATGTAGCTAAAGAGTGATAAGAGCACAATTTGAATTCAGTCTCCTGATTCCTAGTGATTCTGATTTCCAAAAAGTCTTCATTTATGTAATGAATAAACTAAATAAATAATTCTAAACCAGAAGAAAAACATAAAAAATCCGTAAGCCTTGTTGCAGTTCTAGAGCTGAAGACTGATTTGACCAAATAAGTGAGAGTTCATGTTACAGGAATTGATGAGGTTGCTTAGGTACCATTTGCTCTCAACTGACCTGCTCCTAACTACCTTGCACAGCATTCTCATACTCACACAGTCATAATCTAGATCTTGTCATCACCAGAAGCAGATGCGGTCTACCCTAATAATAACTATCTCAAGCACCCCGAAATAATTCTTCAAACTTGTCTCCTAAGAACCCTTTTCCACTTCTCCCCAGTTCATTAGGCATTTCTCTTTTTGACTTTGTTAACAAGTTAGATTCCATGTATTTTTGCTTGTTTGCTTTTTAAAGACAGGGTCTAGCTCTATCACCCGGGCTGAAGTGCAGTGGTGTGATCCTGACTTACAGCAACCTCCACATTCCAGGTTCAAGCGATTCTCACGCCTCAGCCTATGGAGTAGCTAGGACTACAGGGAAGCACCACCACGCCTGTTAATTTTTTGTATTTTATTTATATAGACAGGGTTTCGCCATGTTGCCCATGCTGGTCTCCAACTCCTGGCTCAAGTGATCTGCCTGCCTTGGCCTCCCAAAGGGCTGGGATTACAGGCAGGAGCCACTGTGCCCGGCCAGATTCCATGTTTTTTTTATTTCAATAAATTTTTGACACAATATTCGATTCCTTGAATCTATGACTTTTTTCCATTTTATCCATACACTAAAAGCATACATCAATCTACTTTCTCTGTACCTGCCTCCAAACTATTAAACATTTTGTGGAAGGTAACCTAAAAAGGTAAATTCAATACACTATAGATCTGTGATCACCAACCACAAGAGGATCCCCTACAATGTGCAGTGGCCTTTCAAAGATCCTCTTATCACAACTGGTTCTGTCATCAAAAATTTCAAGCCTTTGCCATTATAGTCAAATCCTGATTTTTATTTCCTAACTTACTCTCAACTCATATTATTGCCAAACACTTTGCAGAGAAAGCAAAGCCCTTTAATGACGTATCTTCACCCCTCACTGCTAAACATGTAAATATCATATTTAGTAATGTAATATTATATTGATATGTCCACTAATATATGAGACTAAGCAGTTCTCTTATTTGAGGCCAATTCTTCAGCGCTTTGCATTTCATCTTATCTGGTCTTTTAGGCACCGTACATTTCCATTATTCCTTCTGTTTCTTTGATACATGCTTCCGTATTAACTGAAGCCTTTATGCCATTATTTTAACAACCCCTGTAGCTCCCATGTGCCACTCTCCTTATAAACCACATTCCTCAGAGAATGACATACATACTCATCACCATTTTCTGACTTGTCCTTTTATTTTTAATCCACTTTAATTCAGAATCTAACATCAATTATTCCACTGAAACTCTTATTGATAAGATCTTTAATGACAATCATAGTACACAATTCAGTGCTGATTTTTAGATGTCATCTTACTTGGATTCTCAATGGCACTCAAGATTGTTGCAAACTTCTATCTTTTTAGAGTGACTTATTGTTATTTCCCAGAACCAACATAGTCTTTTTTCCCCTACCTCTCCTTTCTCTGTCTCTTCCTTTTAAGACTTGTTTGTAAGTTCATTTTCCTCCAATTGGCCATTAAAGTTAGGAGACCCTCAGGTCACAATCATAGTCATCCTTTTCTTTTCCCTCTATATTTTCACTCTCTCTCTGCATAATTAAATCCACACTTTCCTTGGCCTTCAGTTACTCTTATAAAACAATGGCTCACACATGTATATACTCAGCCTTATACTTAACTGCCTACTTGATATCACCAGTTGGATCTTTCAATGCCATCTCTCATTCAACAGACCAAACTCAGGCTTATAATCTTTACACTATACACTGTCTCTTCATTCTCATCTCAGTTCATGGCAACTATATATTAAAGAGGCTGAAAATAACGAACAAGAAAAGTGTCAACATTTATATCACTTCCTTTTCCATAACCAAATCTATCAACATCATCTATACTACTTTATCCTGTATGCCATTTTATACTCTGTCACCATTGCTACCACCTGAGAACAACAATCGCTTTTTGTGGTCTTCTATGTCAACTCTCAAACTAAGCTCCTACACTTTTCCATCCCCTCTACATATGCTGCAAATCACTTGTGTGTTACCTAACACACAAGTGACAACACAATTCTGTTCAAGCCATTTTCTGCTGAAGATTGTTCCAATTTACTTCTCTGTTGATGTATCAGAAAGACCATGATCTTCAAAACTGACCACGATCCTACAAGCTTCAACGTGATTTTGATTCTTTTATATTCATTAAATGAATATTTCTGAATTGAACAATGAGAGAAAATAATAGGGAGTAGGTGGTGAAAAATTGAAAAGAAGGCATAGCAAAGTGTCCAATGGCCAAAGATGTCAGTAAAGGCAGTGAAAAATACAGGGCATGAATGGCAGGGTTAATGTCATAGATCATTAGAGGAGCAGATATACGGCTTGAGGTAGTCAATTTGGTCACCAAGAAATCTGGCATTAATCAAACAGTTTTAGTTAATGTGTAGGTGTGAAAGATTAGAAAGGATGAATAAAGCCATAAGAGAACAGGAGCATAAAAGCTGGAAATTCAGCCTCCTACTCTGAGCTTAGTAATGAAGTAAAAGAGAGAGAAAGGAGAAAGGTAGAAAAAGAAGTCACAGAACCAAAATAAGGATTTTAAGGAAAAGAAACCCAATCTTTTCTTTAAATGGGAAAATAATGTAAATGTAAAAAAAAAAAGGAATAAAAATACAAAACAGAATGATGAAGGTTAGTTGTTGAAGAACTTAATATGGAAAATGTATAATTTTTCTTCTGAACAGAAAAAATGCTATCAAAAGATATTGAAACAAACTAGATGGGTGGCAAATTTCATTCTAAAAGCATAGAGGATAATTTGGAAACCTATGACATCCTTGGTCACCTGTCATAGTCTTGGTCAGTCAAAGGTAAAGTTATCTGCTTGATGAGGGGCAGGATCAGGAAAGCTTAACTGGTATTCAGTTGTTGAAACAGATGTTAAGAAAACATCTGATGAAATCGATCATAGATAAAATGTGGCAATTTCCAAGAATTTCCTGCAAAATTAACCAGTCACTGTTTTTGCTCGATGTTTTATTCATTCATTTAAAGTCATGGTTCACTTGTATTGCTTTATCTTTTTCCAGGAACAGAAGACAAGACATAAAGACAGTATATGAAGAAGAACCATGGTTAGGTCTTTGTGTAGCAAGGATTTATGTGGGTACTGTTGAAAGGCTCTTTAGGTGGACACTGTCGAAATCTCGGAAAGCTCTGAATCAGTCTCACAAATAACAGAAGAGAAATAGCGTGTAACAGAAGCATGTGGTGCTCCCAACATGAAGTCGGCTCATTAAATATTCCCTTAGAACCAATGAATATCTATGAAGACAGACCAATGAAAGATGGTAGGTAGTGTCCCAGATATAAAACTGAATAATTAAAATAACACTACCAACCTAACTTGGCTCACTTTCAAATTAGGTTTGATTCAATGGAAAACATCATAGCTTAATATGATTATATGAGGGTCAGCAGTAAGTATTACTCTTGGCGATTACAAAATACAATGCTAGTGATAAAGAAAAATTCTCTCAAAATTAAACTTTCTGCATCACATGGTCATTTTATACTAGGGGATCTTTTATCCTAAACTTTTATCCTATAAAAGAAAATAAATGCATTATATGTTTGACTAAACTGTAGTTCTACAGTAACAATATGGTTTTTATACAACAAATATATAAAAGTGATGTTATGGTGAAACTGTATGACTAGAGTTAACTGTCAGGGCCTACATTTTATAAAGCTTAGAAATCATAACCCTGTTCATACCTAAATTGGCTTGTAAGATGTTCATGTATTATTTCAGAGATTAATTAATGAAACTGCTTCTCATTTGAAAAATATCTTTTGAAGTGAGACTAAAGTAGTTCACTATTTAGCAAAATTTAGTAAAGTGATTAAAATGTATTCTATGCTGGTTTTCCAAAGGAGATTATTTTTTGGACAGAATTTCCAATTAAGCCTTCAAGTGCATACTGGGCAATTCGTACATGGGAAAACAATTTTATTTGAAATCTGTGCCCTGAAATGGCTATGCTATTGTTGGCCTGTACAGTGACTGCACAGACTTCAGGAAAGTGTCTGACAGATAGCAGATGTCTGAGGCAGTAGTTTATTTAATCAATTGATCACAGGCATGTGGTTTTAATGACAAGCTCAATGCAGACAACTGTATTCTTCCAAAAAGCATACCTTTACTTTTCCTTTAAGAATTGTAATATTTCATAGCCTCATGAACCACATTTTAAAAAGTCTCATTTTGGGGTCAGATTATAATTACTGAGTTTTTATTAAAATGACTTTTTATTCATTAAAAGATACATATGTATAAATTACATGTCTGAAAATCAACTTTAAAAAGAATCATTGTTCAGTCAAATTAGTACTAAAATAGATTAATTCTTGCTAAAGGAAAAAAGTTTATATCGGTAGCCATATTTATTTTTTTTCAAAATTCTAATCTCTAAAATTAAATTATTGTTTAAATACTGGACTTTCTAGATTCTAGTTGCATAATAAAGCCAAACCAAGTTTGAAGATTCAGCTTTTAAAATAATTACGTTAAGTAAGACAACATTCAACTAAAAGAATGAGTAGAAACTCTCTCGGTATAATGCTCTTTCCTTATTCAACAGCTGTGGACTGGGATAACAAAGACAGTCTTAAATAGCACAGGTGAAGTTCAACAGTCTCATATTTGACTATACATTACCTACCTATTTGACTAATTTTTAGCAAACATCATATCGTAATACCACATATCATTTTAACTCATGTAAGAAACAGGCTAGAATAGCCTAATGTAGGATGATGTTGGTCTAAGATAAAAGTATAATTTGTTAATTACATAAAGTTCTCTTCAGACGTTTGGCATCACGCTTTATATATCTTTTACAGATACATACTTAGAAAGTTTTACTGAATTTGAAAGACAAGAAATTACGTAGACTATATTTGAGAAGGTAAGTTTATGCTACAATATTTCTATAATTTGGAGCAAATATTATCTCTGTATTACATACAAGTAATTTTGAAATTACACTTTCTTTAACTTTTACAGCTTACAAATAAAATATAGATACATTAACAATATATACATATGTACTAAAAATATATATAGTTGCCTCCAACTAAAAGTATATATATATGTATATATATACACACATACATATATATATAATACATATAATAATATATACATTTTTAGCTGAAGGTAGAAGGTGATACTTTAAGTAACTTGGCAGACAGAAAAAATGTAATATGCTTTGGGTTTAAAGGGCTTGAAAATATTTTATGAATACTGATATTTTCAAGTTTTTATTGTGAAATAGAGTTTCAAAAATCCTTGACACTAATATAATAACTAAGAATGTTAAATAGTTAAGCTTACCTCTGATCTCCTCCCTCTGTTCACATAAGTACAGATGGGACTGTAGGCACCACTCCCACAGACATACAAATGTGTGCGATTGAAAACCTGAATCACACGGACAAAGTTCCGACAGCCATGCTAAAAGAATCAGTAAATAAGCAGTCAGTAACTCAATGACTTTCACTGTTATTTCGGTTAGCTATGTTAACCTGAGATTTTGTATGATGGGTAACAATGAGGTGACATAAACTTTTGATGTATTACCCCAGGGGTGTCTAATCTTTTGGCTTCCCTAGACCACATTGGAAAAAGAATTGTCTTGGGCCACACATAAAATTCACTAACAATAACTGATGAGCTAAAAAAAAAAAACTCATAATGTTTTAAGAAACTTTATAAATTTGTGTTTCACATTCAATGCTATCCTGTGTGGCATGGTTGGACAAGCTTGTATTAGGCCATATCTTTGGGGAACTATTAATATATTTGTGCCTCTTGGCCAGGTGAGGTGGCTCACACCTGTAATCTCAGCACTTTGGGAGGCCAAGGCAGGCAGATTATGAGATTAAGAGGTCAAGACCATCTTGGCCAATATGGTGAAACCCTGTGTGTACTAAAAACACACATATATATATTTTCACCTCTTAAAGGTAATTTGAGAATATTTATCAAACTTGTACAAGTACCAAATTGCACATTAAGATTTGGTGCAAATGAAAACAAACAGTGGCTCCGGAATAGTCAAAAGATTATTACAGAAACAGTCACTCAACAAGTATTTACTAATTACCTACTATTTGCCAGGGTATAGTCAAATTCTCTAGGCATCCTTAGTGAGAAAAACACAAAAATCCCTACCCTTGTAGAACGAAATTGAACAAAATTATCATAAATGCCCTGCTTTTTCTATTTCTGTTTAAATCTGGACTAATTCTAATACTTCATTTGAGAATGGTCTCAAATTTATACAGGTCAATGCAAATATTATTTGGCGATACTTTGCTATACATTTTCCTTTCTGCTCTATTCTTATTAAAATATGTGTTTGCAGAAATATTAAAATAACAACATGGCTTATTACACTGATTTATTTCAAGATAAATATAGTCCACCTCAGACAGTAAGCAAAATGCTCTCTCTCATATCTCATTAATGTAATATCATAACACTGTGTAAATTTTTACATTCTGAAACTTTATAAACCTATTCTTTACCTGAGAAAGTTTACAAATTGAGACATAAAAGTTTTTTTCTCAAGTTTTCCTTAAAACATTAAACACACACACACATTAAACAAACACCATATTACCATTAGCACACTATGGCAAACACTATTCACCTTAGGATCTGGCAAATAAAACTAATCCCCAACAAAATGCCAGCATAATGATTGCTTTCTATGAGGAGTGACATAATCATTCTCTCTGCTCTGGATCCCCTAAAATACTCCCTTATTCTCTCCTAGGAACTCCTTCCTCACTTGCTCCCAATTCAAGTAAAAGCAAGGCTGTCATTTATTCACTCAATGAAACAAAATAATTCCTGCAATTCTAAATTGACTGTGACCTTGCAGGAGCACAGAAACATGGTCAGCCCTAGATGCAGATCTTTGTGACCAAATTAACCACTGAATGTTTCACAGTTACTGGGTTCACCATTCTTTGCTGACTATAATTCAATCAAGCCTGAGATTGAATGATTTCATGAAGTCATTTTTCTCTCAAAGAACACTAAAAAAAATGATTGTATAATTAGAGACAGTATTTATATTAAAAAACTACCAAGAAATACATCAAAAGTTAACAGTAATTTCCCCTGGGTGGTCAGAAAATATATGTTGCTTTTCCCCCTGCAAGGTACCATGTATGCTTCTGATTTTTTATAAAGCATATCTATTATTTACATTATTGAAAAACTGAAACAAAGTGTGGCTAAAATAGAAGTTAAAGTCAACATTATTTTACATTTTGCATCATTTTCTCCTCTTATATTCATTATTACTTGCCAGTGAATATATACTTATTTTCTTATGCAGTAATTTTATACAGCTGTTTCTATGATAGATTTTATTATCAAATAATCAATCATTAACTCTGTAGTGAAAGAAATTAATCATTACAGACCAGACCATACACTTTATTTTTATTTTAAGACATTAAGGATTTTTTTAAACACACAGTGTCATTGGATCTTGACACCTGTTTATACAGGTACCTGGAAATTGGATTACATAACTACAGATGATAGCACGTTTCTGAAGAAAAAGCACAGCTGAAATATGGTGTGTAAATAATATGTCTACGTAAAGGGACTCTATTAGCAATGAGACACATGTACATTTTTTTCACTTTCAAGTTTAGTCATTCTAGGATTCTGTATGTAACATTTCCCCATAAGACACAAATTCAATCCAATTCCTCTAATAATAGGTTATGCCTCTCTCATCTTGGGTCTTATGGGTGCCAGTGTACTTTCATGAATTACTGGTATTGGTAAAATGAAAGAAGTCAGTAACATCTGTTATATTTCAAATGCCAACTATACTCATTTCATATATCTGTTTATTATGACTAATATTTAGAGTTTATTACATGCTAGACTGTGGAATATTGATATTGTATATTTTATTTATTTTTACCTCCAGAAAGTTTGATTTTTGCCTTTATAGCTGACATTTATACTTTCTGTATGCTACTTAGGCACTTTACACACATTCATTCAGTTTTTTACCATAACTCAGTCCCTTTTAGAAAAATAAGCTTTAAAGCTTTTCAAAAAATAACCTTTCTGAGATCATATAGGTAGTAAGTAAAGCAGATTTACAAATACATATGTCTCTGACATTGAATCCTGTATTTTAACTGCTTTTCAATTTGCCATTAGATGAGTTCCCAGCTGTTTTTATAAGTTAAGACCGATAGAACTTTTTAGTTTTTATAACACTTATTAATATTCACAGAGCTCTTAATCCTTTGATGTAGATTGCTTTAATTCTCATAACAATTCTCCAGTTTACTAATACTCCATTTCAGTGATGAGAAAATTGAGTCCCAGAGAGGTTAAATAAAGAGTTCTAGTTTCAATAAGAATAAGTAGCTAAACTTGGTCTTAAACCACATCCACTCTCGACTATGCAGCTTTTCTATAGGATTCTGATTAGCAGTGAACAGATTCCCACACCATCTGATGCTCAGTATGCTCCCTACCTCTCCCCACACACAAGACCACAAAAGGAAAAACAATTCAGTTGAGTTTATTATTGAAAATGATTATCTAGATCCTTTCCAATTCCACTGTGCTGCCAGCCTTCCTTTCTGACCTAGACTACTGTAATAGTGTCAATTCCATCCTGTAAATATTTGCTGAAGTCATTCTGTGCAAGGCACTATATATGGTACTAGCAACACTGAAATGAATAGCCTCAATCAATGCCTGCTTTTAAAGAAAGGAGAGCATAATATATCAGGCTGTGGTAGATACTGCAATAGGGATTTTTTTTTTTTTAAGTCTGCTGTAGAAGGAAAGAAAGACAATAAGTAATGCTGATCTAGAGGTAAAGGTTGGAGTAGAGGTGACATTTGAGCTGAGTCTTGCAGAATAATTTAGAGATTTTCACAGGCAAAAGCATAAAGAAAGAACATTTCAGCAAAAAAAGAGCATGAACAATAATCAGAGACATGAGAGTGCAGGATTTACTTGGGGTCTAGTGCCTAGAAGGTTTGAGGACAACTGCGTGATAAAATTAGAGAGGCAATTAGAGTTGGTCTGCCATCGTGCCATAGTCTTCAGATAGGCAAGAGAGAGTATTGCAGAGAAGACAGAGTAGATTTAAGTATGCAGATCTGAGTCAGATGACCCAGGTTTAAAACTTGGCTTCATCTTTTACTAGCTTTCAGAACTTAAGATAGCTACTTGGCTTCTGTATGCTTCGATCTTTGCATTTCTAAAATGGCAATGGCAATACCTGTTGTGGACAATATATTAATAAAACAGTTGAAATAGTATCTTGCACATAATAAACACATCCAATTGTCTAATATTAAATTTGTTTTATTTGCATTTTAAAATCAATATTGTCTATAAACCTGGTAAAATAATCTGGACAGCTATCCTGCATAGAGCTTAGCATAGGTCCAAACCACAGTAAAACCCACAAAATGTTTGGAGAATGAATGAAGCCTCAGAGACTTCAGTGGAAATAAATACCATAGATGCCTTCTTTTCATTGTCTGATTCTCTTTCAAAATAATTTCCTAGCACAACGTTAATGAAATATAAGCTGTTAACATTAAACAGAATATAGTAACATTCTATTTTATATATACATCTATGTCTATATAACAAAATCCTGGAAGAATATACCCTAAATTGTTAAGAATGATTATTTCAATAGTGCAGTTTACTTTCTTTAACAGCGATACAGCATTAGCTGTGTACTATGCACTGCTCTAAGCTCTCTACAAATATGAACTCATCAATCCTCTTAACAACCCAATAAGGTTAAGTGCTACAGATTAGCACATTTCACAGATAAGAAAATCAAGACACACAGAAAGTTTAAGTCTCCAAGGTCGAAGAGCTAATAAGAGATGATTTATTTTCTGTTGCTTTCTATGTACTTTTCCAGGCCTTCAAAGATTGTTGTATTGAAAATATATTAGTTTTATAATATAAAAATAGATGTTTTAAAAATAAATCCTGGAGCACAGGGAGACAGGCCTTAAAAAATATTGACTCCTCATGGTCCATACTCTGCTATGACATAAAAATACCTCATACATTTTTTCTCTTTGTCTATACCTCCTTGGTCTAGGTAAATTAATCAAGGTATTTGGATAAAGAAAATATATTTTTTAGGAGCTTTGGATTGTGTGGTCACAGAAATAAGAAAACTGATATTCTACAATTAATAAATCAAGTTTGACACCATGTGCATGTAATGTATACATAGCTAAATATATTTAATCCTACTTAAGTTTTCAACTGTCTCCTATGGCATTTACACAGTACATTCATTAAGCCCTATCTCATGGATATGTTTGACAGCATGTGCTATTGTTTAAGCTCAATTTATTTAGGCTATGAATAAAATATTAACATTTAGAAATAAATGGAGCATGTAGGAATGTAAGTATGTAGGGGCAGGGAGAGAAATGGGAATTAGGTTATATTCTTTTTAGCTGAGGCAGAGAATTAACTGTATTCCCACCATGAAAATTTATTTCCTTTATAAACATCAGTTTACTACAGAATTATCCTATATTATTACCGAAGATCAAAATTTAAATCATATTAACTTTTCTTCTTATAATTGCTATCTTGTTATAATGTCAATTAAAATTTGATACAACCAAAAATCTAAAGGATTAAGGGATGCTTAACTGTTTTATTTTTGTTTTCAGTTGTTATAGCAGTATGGATTTTAATTGCCACTACTTTATGTTTGCTTAGATGATTAACAGAGCTAAAAGCAGAAAGTTTTAGCTTAATGAAAATATACTTCTAAATATATGCATAATAAGGGTACTACAAACATAATTAATCTAAAAGCATTAATAAAATCATCATCTACTGTATCCAGCCCGCAAGCCCTGACAATCAGCTGGAACAGGTTCCCATGCTTGCATGCACCGTGGCCTGAAGAGGTGAGTAGATGTTTCCTAGGCTGAAACCACGGGAAGATAATTGAAGGAAAGGAGACTCAATTGCATGTAGCACATACCAAAGGCTGGAAGAGAGAGAGAGGGTACGACTTGTTCGAATTTCAATATCATTGAAATAAAAGGTTAACAGATGTTCTAATATGACTGCCACAAAATCTAACAAACCTTTCCTAAACATCCCAGCTGTGCTGTGCTTTTCTTTTTCTTTTGTGTGTATCCTTAGTAGTTATCATTTTCACGCTGGAGGGGTAGCACGTTTTAGTGGTAAGGGTCCCAGATCCAGAGCTGTTTAGACGCAGACAGTCCCACGTCACAGCACAGCAGATTGTTTCTCACTTTCTTAGTAATGCAGTTATTTTATTGTAAAAATACAGGTGGTGACAGTAATGTCCACCTTGGAGCACTGTTATGCGGATTAAGATAAAGCACTTTGAACAGGGCCTGCCCTGTTCCATTAAATGTTGGGTATTTTTTCTGACAATTACGTATATATGTCTCATCATCTCTAGTACATTGTTAAGACTTAAATGTAAGGACTCCATCTTACTCACCTCCAGTTTCTTCCCATAGCAGCTAAATAAACTGTGCAAATTCAAATAATTATTTCCTGGGTTTTAAAAATATTAGGTTATTAGATAAATTTATAGCATGTTTTAAGAAGTTCTTAAGTATGTGGTTTCATTGAGAAATGTAAAGGATAGGTTGTTCTGTAGAACTTCCAAAGATCTATTTCACATTTTTTTCTACCACAGGCCTTTTATTTTCTAATAGCTTAAGTAAAGGACACTTCTGTAAGTACATCATATGTATGAAATGAGATGGATTTGTTCAACATTCTTTTCTTGCATAGACCAAACGTATTTTTTTATTATTATTTTCCAGGACTCAACAATATTATATGGACAAACAAAACCTGTCCAGCTGACTCCTACAAACACCCAGGAAAGAGCACTCCATAGATATTTTCCTTGTGTATAACAACTGGCCATATAACGGAATTTTAAAATATCAACAAATTACAACATGACAAAACTATGGGAAAATGTCAGCATGAATACTGATGTATTTTTACCTAATAACTTTCAATTGTCAGAAAGCGAAACGAAAACAAAAAAACCTCAGAAGGTTTCTATTTTGACAAAGGAAGCAGGAAACCAAATGACTTGTCTAAGATTCTTCAGAAAGTCAGCAGCACTTTTTGGAAATAGGATGTACAAAGGTACCTAAATTCTACACATTCTGCCTGCAGCAGTTCATACGAATGGGAAATGCAAATCTTTTCGAACAAAGGACAATGAAATTCAGTAACTATAGCCACGGAATATTATTGTGGCAAAAAGCAAGGCATGATGAGATACACATCAATGGTAAAAAATCTCATTAGAGAACAAAAGAAAATAGTTTAATTCATGCACAGTTATTAAAATAATAGCCTCAGGAGACAGAACGTCATTCTTTGAAACATTCTACTTCATTCTACTATTGGTTTCCTGGAATGCCACTGTAACATATTTGTTTTAGTGTTTCTTCTACGTTTTTCTGGATTTCTCCCCCAAGCTTGTGGTCTAACAGATCCCTTAGATAGCAACTATACTTCTGCAAACTTCTCCTGCCATCTTTTAAATTTTTCTTATTGGATAAATCACTCAAAGAACCCTCTGTTAAGGCCAGAGATCCTACCCTCCAGAGTCTTTCATGGCCCTGCCTTGAGCCAAAATTTTTGCAATTTTACACCTGTTAGGAGTCCATGAAAATAAAAGTTTCATTTCCTCAATCCCATATTTCCACTTTCCCATGTTTGGGCTTATCTGATCCATCTCTGCTTCAAAGAATCAGTGCATAGTCTTCATTCCTGAAATCAGCGTCTCTTGACCCTACCACATAATAAATGCTTAGTTAACATTTTTTAACATTAAGGTGGTCTATTATTTGTTATGACCCGAGACCTGAATGTATGTGTATACACGGAGTAGGCTGTCACACAATTACCATATTTCCAGCTTATTTCTGAATTAGTTTGTATTTCCATGCCCAATTTATGAAGGCTGACTTTTCTAATAAGATAATAAAGTTGACTGAAATCGGAACTGTTTCTGTTTTTGCACTAAATTATGTCTTCGGCAACTAGCTCTATGCTAGATATATAACAGATGCTGGAAGGAATGAATGGAAGGAATGAATGAAGAAAAGAACCTTTTTACCATACTATTTGTGAAAGAGAGGACAATTTTGATGCTTGGCTCTATTACATTTTCATTATTTGGGGTAAAATGGTGAGATGACATGTATGCTCCATTATAAACATTAAATGAAATGTACATATTAAAAATCTGCTTCATGCATTTGTTTCAGAATATTCAAGAATAACAATGTTTTACTTTCAGCAAGTTATCTGTAGAAATCAATATAGATTTATTCCTTGTCTCTCTTTTGAGTCTCACCTAGAAGAATACAATTTGCACAAGTATTGCATACTGAACATTTATTGATACTTATAGCTTCCTCGATTACTGTTTTGTGACTATTTTTAATTAACAAAGGTGCCATTTATCACTGGTGATTTATATTTCTGGAATTTGCTGGCTAGCCACTACCCTTTTGCTGAGAATCTTGGGAGAAGCCCACAGGGTATATGGGAGCTGCTCCAGACACTTGCATTATCATCGTTTCAGGAGCCTGTTGAGAATTCTGCAGGTTGGATCACTAGGAACAGAGGTTATTACTGAAACCCATCATGAAATGTATCTGAATGAAATAATGAAAGCAAGGCAAGCAATTTTTACCCAGTTAGGAATTCTGAAGTTACAGGGAACCCAAGAGTTCCAATCTCCTCAATGTTTAGGTTTTGAGCATGTGTCCAGACAAAAATTTAAAACACCACCCCCCTTTGTCTCATTTTTGGCTTCTCTCAAAGTACATGGATTGAAAACCAAATATTTAAGTTAGCGTTTTTTTTTGTTGTTGTTTTTTTTAAAAAACACTTACTATGGGATCTTTGCCAGCCATTTTGCATTCTTCAATTTTGATTGCAGATGCTGGCCAGAAAACCTGCTCAGAAAGAAAAATAAAGGTCGCATAATCTCACTTGGACATAGATATGATAGCCCAATGCTCTTCATTTACTTTTTGTTAACAGATTTATTTAAGATGATCCTATACTAAAACTTTAGAATTCATTTTTAATGAATTCATTAATATTTTATTATTTTAACAATTACAATTACTTTTTATTTCTTCCATCAGTGTTTCCTTTCACAAATGCTTTTCAATAACATATGCTCATTTGTTAATTGTATATTAAAATAAGGTCATTATTAACATAAATATGAACAATAGAATTTTTCACTTCTTTTGACATAGTACACTTTTCCCAGCTGCTTATGTGACAATCAATTTACATTTACATCGTTTTCTCAGGTATTATTTTTGGTAGACTACACAGCCAGGCTAGTAGATTTACGTAAGATAGGCCCCTAGGTACTTCAATAGCAAAATAACTTGGATGAAATCTAAGAGATTCCCTCTCTCTGAAATACTGTGCTAGTATTCTAAGTAGCTGGAGCCTTGGGTCCAGTCTGGCAACAATCATTAATTTTTTTAGTTGTCAGTCCATTGCCTATGTTAACAACCAAATGCCGAAGTCTCCTTGCTGTAATATATTTATAATTAATCTACTTGTGTTTCTTTACTCCAATGAAGCTCAATTTTATTTTCTTGTGAAATGGAATGATAAATATAGGCCATACTGGATCAAGTAACAGTGTATTTAATAGCTGTTTTCCTTTTAGGCTTTCAATAGTTAAACAGAAATGACCATTTCTCTCATACGCTACCCTATGCTCCCTTTTCTTCTCTTTTTATATATTTATACACAGGCGGTATTTGCTCATTTAGCTCCAGGTGTTGAATTATTAAAAATTATGGAACTAGACAAGGAGACTGACTGAACTTAGTATCTTTTCATCCATGAAATAAGTACTAACTTTCACAGTAACACATGACTAGTATTTTCCATTGTTCTAATAAAATGCATATTACTTTTAACTGTATTTAATTTTTTTTAAAAAAGACACTCAAAAGGTAGACACTGTCCTCATAAAAATAATAAACTTAAACTTACACTCAAAGGTTCTTGACTTATGTTGTTAATATTCAGGGAAACAATGTGATCTTTGCTGCCCACATATAACCGGTCCTGGTCTTCATCCATTAATAAAATCCTGTAGTCTAAAGGGTGGTGGGAAAGGCTGAAGTATTCAGAAGTCTTGGTTTCTTGAAGTTCTGAAAGAGTGAACAGCACAAGTATAGATAGAGTATCCTAGTTTTATAATTCTATCATTTTAATAAAAAATCATATGCAAATATTTACCAAAAAAGTTAAGGTCCATTTCCTTCTACAGTAAGAAACTAATTTTAAAATAGAGTTATGGGCTAGTTCCCTATAATCTCAGCACTTTGGGAAGCCAAGGTGTGATGATCACTTGAAGCCAGGGGTTTAAGACCAGCCTGGGCAACATGGTAAAACCTTGTCTCTACAAAGAAATTGTTTAAAAAATTAACTGGGCATGGTGGTATATGCCTATAGTCCCAGCTACTTTGGAGGCTGAGGTGGGAGAATCTCTTGAACCTAGGAATTAGAGGTTATGGTGAGCTATGATAATGCCACTGCACACCAGAGCAAGACCATGCCTCAAAATTTAAAAAAAGTTATGTTAATGAGCATTTTAAATTATTATATTTATGCTGAAGTAAAACATAAATCAATAAGTACAATGTTAAGGTTTATGGTAATAGTATGTGATTACAAAATCAGTCACATTTGTAATAATCTCAACTCTGTTTTATAACTGGATATCATCAGCTCAAAACAAGTTAAAGTAAACAAACAGAAAAATACAGTGAGCAGATGGAACAGAAAACAAAACGAATGGCAGTGTGGTTGTCTTCTTATCCCCTATTAATGTTTTATTCTTGGACTCTATTTATTCATCATTTAGGACCGCTATTTCCTACTACAAGTATTTGCCTTACTTCCCAACATAATTCTAATTAGTCCAACTTATTTTTCTATAAATTACTTGAAAGAAGACATACTTTCAGGAGGCAATGTTATTTTTAGCAGTATAACTATGCGTATACCTCAGGAAAACATATGAATTTTCAGATATCTAAATGTTCATGTTTTCAGTATCCTCAGTGGTTAGTGACTCACACTCATTTAACTTCTTTCACATTGCCTAAGTGCCTGTATAGCTGGCCTATGAATACCATGAATGTATGGTGACATTCATGATACATTCGCCAGTCAAAATGCTCCTCTCAAGGAGTATAACTTTAGACTTTTCTATTCAAATGGTTCAGGATTTCTTTGTTCTTTTGATTATAATCTGAAGAATGACAAACTATAAGAAAGAGAATGCTTTCTGGGATTATGGCTTCCGTGATTAACTGTTTCTAGATTTTTAGGTGTTGAATCACAAACACATTTCTAGAAATTCTAATAGAGCTGTAACTTGACTTAAACTGAAATTAAAATGACAAAAATTCTTATAGGAAGTCATGGACTATATTCTGTGAGTATTGGGCCATAGTCCATATGAGAAGATACAAAAGTCACAAATTTAACCTATTTTCTAGGCACATTTGGTCAGAATGTCTGCTCTGATATCCTTCAGGTAGTTTTAGCCAATAATCTGAAAATGGCCTGGAAGAAGCAGAGTGATAATGAAACCAGGTTCTGTTGCCAAACTTCCTGTGATACTGAACAAGTTACTTAACCTCTCTGTGCTTTAATTTCCTCATTTGTAAAAAGCAACAATAATAGTACCTTCTGCCAAGTGTTCCCATGGAAATCAATTTAATCAACACATGTAAATATTTGAAATGAGTGACAATAGATAGTATTCAATAAATTCTAATTATTGTTATTAAGTTTGGATCATGATTTATAAGAAAGACACGAATTTAGATAAAATAGATACATGTTTTCCTACTTCTTTTAAATTTAGGGAGCTAGATCCATAAAATTATTAAGACATAATCGTACAGCCTCAGATTTACTGTTCATAAAACAATAGTAAAATACAGCATTTTTTTATGTTGGAGAAAACAATCAAGAAGTTAGAAAAATATTTCAAAAGAATCTTAACATGTAAAATCATGACAGCATACAAGAACAAAAGACAGGTCATTAACAAGGGCCTGAGTGAAAGATTTTTGGAAACAGGGGGCTTGGGTGCTGAGCATGGTACAGCCTGCTGCCATTCCAGTTAGTTAGCCTCCCGGGGAATCACAGAGAGTGAGGTGACACAGTTGGCAGGTGGTGCCACAGCCCGAAAACTGAAACCGCTTCCTTCATGAGGAAACCAAGTAATGGGAGAGGGATGTCCTTCAGGAAAAATTCAACCCATGCCAAACTAGGAGTTAGGGCTAATAGAAAAGGATCCAAGAGCAGAGAACATAGGAGAGAATATAGAATAAAAGCCAGTATCACTCAAAGACTGGAGAGGACATAGACTGCTTTGCTTCTGTCTAAAATCCAGGTGTTTCATAAAGCTTACTTTTCATCTCAGGGATATGATTCATGGTTGTGTAAGTCTTCTGTAAAACACCAGGGGTAAGATATTACTTGGGCTGCTGGAATACACATTCAACAAATACCTCTTGAATAAGTAATTGTGCAGTGAGATACGCAGACTAATACAGTAAAATATAGCTGAGTTCATGGCCTCCGGACCTCTACCACTGGAGTCTGGATTCTGGCTCTATCATTTCATTTCTAGATGTACTTGGCAAGTGCCTTTATCTCTCTGAACTCCAGTGTCCTGAATCTGCAAAGTCAGGATAATAATATTATCTACGTCATTGGGTTGTTGTGAAATTTAAACTGGTAATATACATAAAGTGTTTAGAAGAGTCCCTGAGCTATAGCGATGCTGGTTACATGGGTTACCTATTATAACAACTTGGACCAAAGACATCAGCCTCTAGTAAGCAAAGTCAGAACAATTTCTTACACAGAGAGGGGGAGAAAAGACCAGAATGCCTGATTTAGAGTTAATATTAATATATTAAATTTGTTTACAAGTAGAATCTACTCAAATTATTTAATCAAGAGAACACAATAATAAAACAAGGCATTTTTAAGAAAAATGATTTGAGTATGCAGGATAATTTTTAAAGTAAATAAGCTGAGAAGACTAAAAGACTTTGTTCTAGCAGTTGAGACATTATATTGATGAACACCTGATATGCTAAAATGAAAAGAAAAAACTGAGGTGCGAAACACCTAAAACAAAGTTGAATGATTTTGTATGCGTTTTGGCTAGGGGTAGGGAGAGATTAAGGTAAATTCCCCTTAACATTGTAAGCTAAGTATAAGAGAAAGGAATATGCTTTTGCTACTTTTGGGAGATCTTAAGGAGATACATTTGGTAGAGAAAGTACTTAGGTGTGAACAGATTACATTCAAATCAAAGCAGAAATGTTCCACAAGAATATAGAATTAGATAATTAATTTAATTTTGCCATTAGAAATAGCAAACCTTCAGGTAGAGGTATTCAGTTCTTTTCATGGATTATTATATGGAATTCTGAGAGTAGATACAATCTCTGGGGAAGAGTATATCTAAAAATCCAAGCAAAGCATAGAGTTGAGTTAGTTGTTAGATACAAAAAGGGAGCCCTAGAATTGAAACTGAAGGTGATTCATGATGTATAGGAAACAGTTTGACATTGTGAAGAGAGTACTCAATCGGTGTCATAGTCCTCAGTTGAAATTTCAGTTTCATCACTTACTAAGTATGTTATTTTGGGGAAACTAGTTCATTTCTATTTTAATTTCCTCATCTATAAATTGGCAATAATAATACCAAGCTCAAAGTATGTTCTAGCGGCCCACAGTACAGTATCAATATATGCTCCTTTCAGCAGGAGACACTACTGATTATCTATCCAATAGATACTATTTATTCTTTCAGCCTTGACAGGGCCATTCAATGACAATCATACTGGCCCCATTCTTCTAACCAGCAAGTGTTTTAAATGTGGCCATGTAAACAACTTTAGCCAGTGAACTTTGGAGGGAGGCCTTCAGCAAAAACTGGCACACATAAAAAAAGAGGTGATTTTGGTTCCTGCCTCTGGACACTGGTACATGAGCATGATACTTGCAGCAATTGCATCTACCATGCAAGATGCTTGCTGAGAATAACAAGCAGAAATGAAGAAAAAAATCTGGATGCTTTAAGAAATCACTGAGTCACTGGATGAACTGGAGCTACATTGCTACTGGACTATTCTGTTTTATAAACATTATAAATGAAATAAAAAGAAATTCTTGCATTTTTTAGGCACCTTGAATTGAGGTTTTCTTTCTCTGTTGTAGAAACAAATACATCTTTTGAGGGTACACAATCCCCCACCACAACTTTCTCACGTTTTCTATCATGAAGTTGTTTAGTTTTGACGTTTTTTTCCAAAATATCATTTTTTTCTTTTTGCTTTCTTTTTCTAATCTATATTGAAATAAAACCAAGAGTGTGATCTTGGGAAATAGGCTCAATTAAATTTTATTTGCAAGTAACAAACAAACAACTGCCTGTTTTTTTAGAAAATTATCTTTACCTGTTTCATTAGAAAATTGTCAATCTATCACATTAATTCAAATACCACAGGGAGCAATAACTACATCAACTTAAGACCTTTCTGGTCCATGGATTTTTATCTAGTTTTCCGAGCCATAAAGCATCTTCAGATTTAATTACCTGTATCTCACTGATAGTTGACAGCTGTTAACCAGGGAAGATATGCTTCAGAAGTGCCCTTGTTGTGATAAAAGCCTAGGCTATTTTGTTAAACGCTATTTAAATTGCTCTTAGTAGCCATAATTGAACTTTATGGCTTGGGGAGAAAAAACAACAAAAGAGATGAGCTCAAAGCAATCAGAATTTTATTTATAAAACGAATGACCCAAGAATCTATCATTTGCTTTCACATAGATCCAATTTAAGTAAATGAATGACCAGCGAATTGGCCACAGTTATAGAAAGTGACTGATTTAATGATTTGGCTACAGTGAGAGAAAAACATTATAATTACTAGTCCGTCATCTAAACAAGGTAAAGAATGGCATTGTCATTCCTTTAACTTAATAATGATGTCATCCTTTTTGAAGCATATGAGGTACAGCTATTTGTGCTGTTTCTCAGGACATGCTCAGTTAATGAATAAGGGACTCTGGCTGAGAGTGTGTAGTATTAGAAAATGCAGTGGCTCCACAA